TGTCGATGCTGTTTCTTTCCTCTGCTGCTGAGGAAGAAGGGGGGTGAGGGTGAGGGTGAGAAAGAGAGAGTGTGGAAAGGTGGGAAAAGAGGCGAAAAGCCAGGAAAGTCTAAACTGCAGCAAATAATAATAATAATAACAGCTGGGATAAATAAGAAAAATAATAAAATAATAATAATAATAATAATGGTTGTTAAGGATAAGGGAGGATAGTTATGTTCGCATGAAGCAGAAAATGAACTTTCAGTGGACGGGAAGAGATGTGGGCGAGAAATGGAAGAGAGAGAGCAAGCAAGCAGCAGTAACGAGATGGGGGGAGGAGAGGGGTTGGACCGATTTGATGGGATGGGATGAAATGGATGGATGGATGGGTTTGGTCTGGTCTGGTTTGGTTTGGCTTCGCTTTGGTTTGGGTCTGGTTTTGTTGGTTAAAGTAAAGAGTCGGGTTGTAGCCTTCTGGCTGGCTGCTGGTCGCTACTTGCGAAGCTGGTAGCTGCTACTTACACTTCAAGGTACACTAGTTAAACCTCTGCCATCGGTGGCTCTGTCTTCCCTTTTTCCTTACCTTTTCTTTGGGCCTTTTTCCCCTATTTTACTTTTTATTTTGTTTTAAACCTTTTGGGCCATTGAGTACGTAGTTCTTATTTCCCACTGTCGCTAATTCTTGTCCTCCCCCCTCCCAAGGAATTAATTCTCAGATTAAGATCTTCTGTCACTTCCACTAGAATTTCACAGCAGTGGTAGTTATACATATCGTTCGCATTTATTCAATACAATTAGACAGAAAGGATTAATTGAATCTGAAATATAATAAAATATCAATCAACAAAAGAGCGAAGTAAAATGAAATAAAATAACCCACACAACAGAAAGAAACACCGCCCTAAGGCGGCGATTCCCAAGGAGAAGCCGATGGCGAATCGCTCAGTCGGGAAAGAATCTACTTTTACTACTTGAGTAACTGGCCTGCCAAAGCTGGCAGCAAACCCAACCCAAGAGATGGATGCCTGAGGAACTTTTTTTTTCTTTCTAAAAAAAATAAAAAAAAACATCATTATTAGTGAACAGGACCGGAACTTTGCCTGCTTGGGTGAATACATGATTTCAAACCAACTACGGAGTACGAAACACCAGAGTAGACACCATACTATGTACTGACTGGTCAGGCAGGCACCAGGGACCACTAGTTGGGTAGAGTTTAGCGGCCTTCAGCGAGGCGTGTCTGGGTCCCCCCTCCGAAACCGTCCCCCGATGCCGTCTAATCCGCCACGTCCTCTATCTGCCTGCCTGCCGCCTTGGATGTGTGGTGTTTATTTCCCCGCAGAACTCCTACTACTGTATGTATACGGCAAGTTAAGTTAGGAAAAGTAAAGAAAAATAATAAGAATTTATCTGGTCGGTGATCGATGATCGGCTCTATCTATCTATTTATCTATCTGTCACAGAATTCCAGATTCTTGCTTACTTTTTTTTTTTTTTTACTCTCCTTCTCTTTACTTATTTCCTTCGCCTGCAAATTTCGCCTGTATGTGCGACCTTGGGTCTCATCTCTCTCCCTTTTCACTACAGAAGCACTAGCAGGTACGCAGCGAGATATGATAGGACCCTTGGGATCCGGTCTCGAAATTCAACAGGCGCCTATTCGAGGTGGATATTGACCACAACTTTTCTTTGCTTTTTTTGAACCTATCGAACTGCCACTATCACCAGGAAAGGAAACCACTAAAGCGACTACCATGTCTCAAGAGAATAATTATAGCAAGTGGTCCCTTGGGTGTCTCACCTCAATATCCTGTATGCCCTGGGTGTGTGTGCGCCTTTGAAATGTGTGTGCGTGGGCATAAGAAACCTCCGGGAAAGAACCCGTCGACACCGTGTCTTACCTCCACAAATTCCACAACCCTCTGCAGGCTTGGTGCCCTGTAACGCACGGGCATCCCTGCTTTTGGCTCGAAGAATTCAGGCAGGTACGGATGTACTTTTGCTGCGTTTTCCTCTTCATCAAAGGTCCAAAGTCACTTTATACCTTCCGGGACAATCAACACTAGTCGATAGTTCTTCGGAGGGTGGAAAGATTAAAAGAGATTTAGCTCCGCCAGAATCAGCAAAGCCACACTCACTCACACGCCCTGCTAAAATTCATCGAAAAGACAAGCCCGAATACGCCAATTTTACGGTCAGTCCGCCATGCGCGCGTGTTGATAGTTGACCTTTTCGCTATGCTCCATACCCAGCGTGTCATGATTGGAACGCAGCTGATCGGCTCCAAGACTAGTGGCGATCGATTTTCCGTGGCTCCAGCAAGTTAGCTGGCTTGAGTCGGCCCCGGTTAAGATTACCTATCACACGCCCGACAATTTCATGGCTTGCTGGGTTTGGGAAGGGAAATGCCCGCGGGAGAGGCCATGACAGGATGACAGGGCGAGCAAAATTCCACAGCCCCCCCTGGTCTAAACACTACTGTACAAGGAGGTGCAGGAACAGGAAACAAACCTGCCGCTTTCCATACCACGGGAAGTGGTCCATCAATCTCGTTAACCGTTGATCGGGGATGATCAGGGAGTAGATCAACCAACCCAAGTCTATTCAGGAACGACGAGGGCACACGGTATAGGTAAGTCAATAGTGGTTCTCCGTACTCCGTCCTACTGCCTAACCGGATAGTTGACCTTGCGTGAAGATCCTCTGTGGATTTGGGTTTTTAACTACCGAGCTGCTGCCTATTTGACTGCATGAATCAGCCCTCGCGTTCGTCGGATAAGTTCAGTCTGGAAAATTCCCGGGTCGTCGGATACCTTACGGATCCCCTAAATGCTAGTATGCGAAGTAGCAAGGTCCCAAGACCAAGGTTCGTCGGTCAACTTTGAATTTTAGACTTCCCATCCGGGTTTGAGAACTGAGTCGGGCTCTCGCTCCGAACCGGAGGCGTCGGTCCTCAGCGTCATGGTGGGGGGGTAAGAATGGTGAAAGCGAAGCAAGAGAGGTTCCAAGTATGGGAGAATACACATGGTAGAGGGCAGTGCCAGCGAGTTTCCAGGAAGAATGGCCGAGAATGAGAGGGTGAGGTAATCTTCATACGGGGAATGTGTATCGACAAGATCCCCGAGGCGTCGACGGCGCCCAGTCCAGACCCAACGGTCGCGTGCGAGACCCATCTGTTCCACGGAATGGCCAATCAGACCCAGTCAAATTCGGAGGGCCTTCTTTAGCCCCACGAGCTAGGCCCGTCTGGGACTCTCATGCGAGGTTCAAGGTTGTTACTGTAAGGATCCCCGATACATACATACAGGTTATCTGTATGTATGTGTGTATCGTCTTGTCTACTCATCGAGGCGGTGCTGCTGTTCTTGTCCAGCGACATGCGAGATGTATCAGACTTTGATCCATCATGGGATGTTAACAATTTCTTCCCCGGGTGACCGGGGTGGGTTGCGCCTTACCATGCATACATACATACATAGTACATCCTTAAGATTCTGGTCTACCTATTAGCAGTCTCGGGCCACGTCTGGACCATCAAAGTACCAAATCACTGAAGCTTGCTTTGAGAAATGACTTCATGGAAAATCCGACTGTTCGAGATCCGCTCAAAATCTGTCTAAAAAAGCAAGATTTTCCAGAAACGCGGGCCAGTCATGATCCGGTGACATCGATGTGCTTGCTTAATGAGTACGTGGAATAGCCCTGGCCACCAATTACTGTAATTAAATGGGAGACTTAACTTGCCTTAAGCCTCGCCTAATTGTCGGATGAGGAGCTAAATTGGCCAGGGCTATCGGACTAAAAGGCGCGGTATCTAGCCCATCTGCCAACAACCACGACTGATGGCAATGAAGCTGCATAGGTTAGACAAACCTTCGTTCAGGTGACTTAGTTACGGAGTCCCCGGATTATGGTCGGAGCCGTTGCGCTTGGGGACTCACGGGAGACAAAAAAGGTCACTAGCGCTGATGCAATCTCCGTCAGCCAGGTAAATATTCACAAAACCTTGCTCTTGCTCGTGTTTCGTGGTGAGTTAATAGTCGATGCGGAGTACACTCCTCCATATTGGGTAGTGTGGCTGCATGAGATAGCCTCTAGGACTTGCTACTATCTCGGATTGTGGCAGTCTGCAGCTCGTCGGACGGCAAAGGCATGGTCACTATACAACTACTACTGGGTAGGGTTGCACGTATGAAACCATCCGCAATCATTGGCATGGCTGGGAGTAATAATTCAGGATAAATGCAGTGCTCGCCCTGATATTCGGCGTGAGTATGCGGAAATGTATAAGTCGCTGGTGGTAGTAGTATATATTGTTCAGGTTTCGGCCTTTGATCGGTACTACTAATTCCACCAGCAGCATCAAGTCCTCCCGTGCTATATTTACATTGCACAGACTGCTGCACTTTCCTGTTTCTGTCACGCACTTTTTCTGAATATCCCCCCTCCTCCCAATGCAAGTCGGGAGGCAGCCGAGTGTTACTAGCGACACTACCACACCGGTAGTTGCAGTTGATCTGATCGCATGATCTTGCTTGAAGATCAAGCGAACATCTTCTGCTCAGCTGCAGAACCGGTCCCCGGGGTGAGTGTGGCCAAGGACTTAAGCAGCAAAGACCATTGGGGTATTGCATTGGCACAGGAGACACAGACTGGTGATCCCTCATTCTGAGATCGTCCAGGATACATACACATCTGCATGCATACAGACTGCGGAGGGATCAATCTGAAGAGTCATGACATGTCGATAACTAGTGTTTTAATTCTATCCTCCAACTAAACTACTTATCAGTAAGAGAAAAGCAGCCAAACGGATGGCGGGGTAAAAACCACCGGCCGGTCACGGGACGGCACAGTTAGTCTTTGACGCGCGCCGTAATCAACGAGGTGCCCGAAAGAGTCACAATTTCGGAAAGTGGGCAAGTATCTGATTGAAGTCCCCAATCGCACAGTCGGTCTTCTCAGCACCCTTTTACGCCCCTTAGATCCGTGCCTCGGGGTTCACGACTCGCGCAATCATGGCGACCGATATGACGAGCCCCATCCTGGACGCCCTGTCCGCGTCCGACGCCTCCATCCTCTCCAGCGAAGCCTTCCCCTCCACCCCCTCACTAAACGTCAAGGCCGCCCTCGACCGTCTAGCCTCCCGACAGATGGTCGAGTATGAGACCTTCGATAAGGAGGTCGCTGTCTTGACCCCCGAAGGTGAAGAGATCGCCTCGAATGGCAGTCACGAAGCCAAAGTGTTCCAGGCCGTGTTGGCTGCCATGGACGGATTGAAGATCGCCGAGTTGCCCGGAGTCGTTGGAAAGGAAAACGCCAAGATCGGTCAGGGCAATGCTTTCAAGAAGGGCTGGATCAAGAAGGACAAGGATCTTCTACGGGCGACGACCGACACCATCGTGGACGAGACCCGCGAGTTGTTGCTGACGGTCAAGAACACCCAGACTCTGAACGACCAGAAGGCCCTCACAGATTTGAAGCGGCGCAAGCTGGTCGCCCTGCAAAAGGTCATCTCCTTCAAGATCTCTAAGGGTCCCAAGTTCGCGCGCGAGTTCGTCAAGGAGGAGACCGACCTGACCGCGGAGATGCTCATGAACGGCTCCTGGAAGACGGCCCAGCTGAAGCCCTACAACTTCAAGGCCAAGGGTGCCCCCACGCCCGCTGGTGCTTTCCACCCCCTGAACAAGGTGCGCCAGGAATTCCGCAACATCTTCTTCGAAATGGGTTTCGAGGAGATGCCTACCAACCGTTTCGTCGAGACGGGCTTCTGGAACTTCGACGCCCTCTTCGTCCCTCAGCAACACCCCGCCCGTGACCTTCAAGATACCTTCTACATCGCCGACCCGGTCAAGGCCGACCCACCCCGCGAGGACCCAGAGAACGACCCTCACCGTCCCAAGTCCATCCAGCCGGCCTCGAACGCCACCCAGGAGAAGCCCCTCGACTACAAGCAGTACTGGGAGGACGTCCGCCAGGTGCACGAGAATGGCAAGTACGGATCCATTGGTTACCGCTACCCCTGGGATGCCGACGAGGCGCTGCGGCTGGTTCTCCGCACACACACCACCTCGGTTTCGACATATGTTCTGCACAAGCTGGCGGCCAACCCCCGTCCGGCGAGATACTTCAGTATCGACCGAGTGTTCCGTAACGAGGCGGTCGACGCCACCCACTTGGCCGAGTTCCACCAGATCGAGGGTGTCATTGCCGACTTTGGTCTCACCCTTGGTGGTCTGATTGGCTTCATGGAGGTCTTCTTCGCCAAGATGGGCATCCACCAGCTCCGCTTCAAGCCGGCCTACAACCCCTACACCGAGCCCAGTATGGAGATCTTCGGTTACCACGCTGGCCTTGGTAAGTGGGTGGAGATTGGAAACAGTGGTATGTTCCGTCCGGAGATGTTAGAGCCCATGGGTATCCCCAAGGGCATGCAGGTCTACGGATGGGGATTGAGTCTGGAGAGACCTACCATGATCAAGTAAGTCAGAAACAAACACGATACAGAATGGATCTTCGATACTAACAATGTACCAGATACGGCGTCAGCAACATCCGAGAACTCCTGGGTCACAAGGTCGATCTCGGCTTCATCGAGTCCAATCCTGCCGTCAGACTTGAGAAGGACTAGATTTAGAAGGCAATGAATGACTAGAAGAAAAAATGGGCAGAACTTCTTACTTATTTATTATGTTGAAAGCACCACCATTGATATATGACTCCCACTTAGATCTACGTGATATAAACCACACAAAACAGGAACCCCGAAAAAAAGGAAAAGAAAAAAAGAAAGAGAGAACTACGAAACGAAGGACCACGGTTATGAGTAGAAATGAAAAGCATTCAGTTTTTGAAATTCCAATTTCCTTTTCTCTTCTTCTACTAAGTATCTAAGGAGATTGACTAGATAGATATGTCCCACCCGTATCTGTGCCCCGATGCAAGTCTCAGCAAAGTGGCTCTTCAGCAGGCGGTAAAGCGTAATATTCGGCGGTGGATGTGCGTGTTTTTTTTACTTGTCTACCTCCTGACTCATGGGATGTCCCCTGACCTAGAGAAAAGAAAGAACAGAAGAGGAATCCAGATGACGGTTCCCTTCTTCTGCTTTCTCTTCTCGGGGGTTTATTTGGGGGGGAGTGAGGAAGCCTTGATGTGCCGATGATAAGATATGATATCTAGTGTGTGTGTGTGTGTGTGTGTGTGTGCTTGCTACAACAGTACTCCGTACCAGACGAGAAAGGAAAAGGAAAGGGCACCCCAAGAAGAGAGATGAAGGCTGCTCCAACCCGAGATATGATAAGAAGGGAATAAAAATGGAAAGCAGGATAGAAATTGAATTGTTGATGGAAAAAGTTAAGAAAAGTTTTTTCATTTCATTGTGAAAAGGATTCCCTTTTTGTTGTTGGAGATATAGTTAAATATCTTCATCCTATACCATCAATATCATTAGCCTTGCGCCCCCCCTGCGAGCTCCTACGTAGTAGAAGACATAGATAGATAAATAGATAGATAAGATAGTTGGTAACGTACCATCATCAATAACCACCCACTTCCAAATTCATCCCAACACCGCACGTCACTCTCTCAAACAAAGGAGGAAAGAGAGCTTAGCGCTGACGGGCAGCGGTCCAGACGTTGCGGACGTAGCCGTCACGCTGGGCAAGGCGGTTCAGGGAGTCATCGCTCTCACCACGGGCACGGATGAAACCGCACAGAGCGTAGGTGTGGTTCTCACCGGTGTAGCGGCCGTTCTCGTCAACCTTGGCGATGGAGATCTGGACGGAGGCGTGGTCGTTGGCCTTGATGATGCGGTTGGTGGCGCTGCACTTGCGGGGGACGTAGCTGTAATTGCATTATTAGCATTTTGCGTTTCCTAGCCTTGTTCCTTTTGGCGAGAGCGCATGTTGCTGGGTGATGGTGATTGTCATGAGATATGCGATGCGATCGGTGTTCGGCATATCCTCCTTTTTCTCTTTTTTTTTTCCCTTCTCCGTATGATTCAATTTCAGGCCCGTCTCTTTCCATATCGTAGATCCAATTTAATCCAGATCAGATTATGTCCTTCCTCGTCGATCGACAATCATGTCCCCCCATCCATCGCACATATCCGCGATAGTGATTCCCCAATCCATATCATATCATCGTATATCGAGCACCGAATCGCATCCATATCTCCATATCCATCTCACGCAACCATCACAACTCGAAGCAATAAATTTGGAATGAATGGATACATACAGATCGACGATCTCTCCCTTCTCGTTCTCCATTTTGACGGTTGTTTGGGGGGGTGGTTGAGGTTGACGACGGTGAGAGGTTTTGCGCTGGCGGGTTAAACTGGCGGCGGACGGTGCGTGTGAAATTCCACTTGAATCTTTCTGGCGAACGCGGGTTGTGGGTCATGTGATTGTTTGTCGAGGGCTGATGACTAAGGCTTTTTGCCGGGTGGGTTGGGCTTGGCTGGATCGGTAGGCGGTGAAGGTGTGTACCTGTGGCGGTGTGGCGATGTAGATGGGGTGTGGCTGGTTAGTTGTGGTATGGGTTGTAGGGAAGGTATTGATGCTCTATGTGAGAGGATTGTGAGTGATGATTTACTCGGTTAGTAAGATTTTACTCAGAATATTTGGTATCTCCTTCTTTATGTTGTTCTCATACATAGTGAGCACCAAACCCTTAGAGGTTGACGAATACGATAAGAGGATTGATACATTAATATGACGGACATAAGTTATTGACGAGTTGTGATTAGTACTGAGGTAGTATAGTTCGGCATCTAGATGCTCTATATAATACTACACAACAAGCCGGCTACTGGCGATCTACCCACATTCAGCTACAAACGGCTCTCCTCAAATACATCCTTCTTCCACCGCACCACAACCTCTCGAGGAACCCCCTTGATGAACTTTAGCTGTACAACCCGCTCCGCTTCTCCCTTCCGATCAGTACCCTCCAGCTCCGGTCCAGGATGATCCAGCTTCATCACAGTCAGGCCATCAGACCCAATCTGCAGCGCCTTCGGACAAATACACTTATCCGTCCACGGCGGCTGCCCCGAATGAATGAACTGCAGCAATTCCTCTCGCTGCCTCTTCAACTCCTCAACAGACTCCATACCCGGTGTTCCCTGATTAAGAAAGTCCGCCATCAAATGAAGCAGCATGAACTGAGGCGGAAACAAGATAGCCTCGCCTTTCTGCGCCATGCGCACCCACTCCGATGCAGGCAAGAACCTCGCCTCGGAAATCTCCACTCCGCCATCACTCGTCGGAACCTGAATCTCCTCTTTTTCATCCTCATGTGGGATCTGATCCAGAACAGGCTTCTCGATCTCCATCGGCAAGGGTAAGAAATACAGGTACATCTGGGTCGTATACCGTCTCGGAAGTCTGATGGGTGTGAGCCAGCGCGTAAATGGTATCAGTCCTTCCGTATCTGGTACTGCTGCGGGATGCTGCTCCTTTAACCATTGCACAAATGTCATCTTATTCTGATGAATCGCGCGACGACCGGCTTCGCGCTGCTCCTGTGGCACAGCGATCATCTTGCCTGAGTCACGGTCCTTGGCCAGGAGAATGCCGCTTTCCTCGAATAGTTCTCGGATGGCGGCATTTCGATACCAGGGTCCGTCATCGTGTCGGGAGATATCATGTACCGGTGGGCATGGCCCGTCCTGGGTGGAGAGGTTCCCTCCCGGAAAGACATGTGCTGATGGGTATGACGTTGATGTCTTGACGCGGTGGAGAAGAAGGACCTCATTATGTGGAGAGATGATGATTACGCTGGGATAAAATTAGCCTTGAGTCTACAAGATTCTGACGCTATATAAGAGGTGAAAGCAAGTGAGTGAGAATGGTAGGGATGTATGTCGGAAAAGTCGACGAAGCTTGGCATATGACGAACCTGGAACTGGGCCGAGGCTCAGCGGGCGTAGACTTGGATTTTGGGGTCTTTCGAGACGCCATAGTCTGATCTGTTGATGTCTGCTGTGACTTGGAAACAGAAAAATTGTATCGTTGTATAGGTTGACCGAAGGTTCTAAGTGGCATCCGGGGCTGCGTAGGTCTAAATGGTAGGTTTGAAACTAACAGCCGGCTACCTCGGGCAATTTGCAGCCGGGGTAGGAGGAATTCACAGGCTATCATCATAGTCCATCCAAAGAAGCGCAGACATTAGTGTCAGCAGATCCCTGTGCTAATGGGATAGGTGAGGGATTGCTATGAGAGAGAAAGGTTATTGGAGCCCAGGGTACACGGAATCAACAGGCCGCAGATGGCAGAAGCCGACCTGCAGCAGTTCTGCGGCAAGGCTTACTGCGACCCCGCATTTTCGGCAACAGACCGCCTCTCACTAGTTACTGACAGTATCTACGGCTGACGGTTCGACAACTCTGGATTAAAAAAAGATTTATTGTGACAGATAGATTGGTATTGATGACTGTCATTGGAAGTCTAGGATCATGTATAGAATCATTGAAAAAGGCGTAATGCATTGAATAACCCTAACCAAGTCGGTGCGTCACCGCAAGTCGAACTCCTGTTCCCCATGCCCGAGCTTTTGTTTTCGTTAACAGCCACATATCGTCATGTAACAAAACTTATCAACAGAAAGGCTCTTGATATCAATTAAACGAGAAGAAAATAAGCAAAGAAACTTCGGCACTCAAGCTTTTACCGCTTAAGAGTAGAGCTTCTTGTCGTAGCTGTGGAGACCGTGGACGTTACCTTCGGCCATGGCGCTGGCACTTCTCATCTCGAAGCGGACAGTTCCGTTGTTCACACCCTGGTGGAGAGCCTTGAGGCTGGGAACACCGATATCCTGTAGGGAGTGCTGGACACCCGCAACGAGGTAGGGAACGAACTTGGTGACGGAGCCACGGTCAAGAACGGAACCAGCGACACCCTGAGCAACCAGGACACCGTCCTTCTCAGAGAAGTAACGGGCAGTACCAGCGTTGCTGGCCTTGCTGTCCTTGGAGCCAGCGCCAGCCTTCTTGTCCTCCATGGCGGCGATACTGCCCATACCACGGTAGGACTTGACAAGCTGACCCTCCTTGCTCATGAAGTACTCGCCAGGAGACTCAGTGGTACCGGCAAGGAGACCTCCCATCATGACAGTGGAGGCACCCATAGCCAGACCCTTGACGATGTGACCAACGTTCTGGATACCACCGTCAGCAATGCAAGGAACACCGAAGCGAGCGGCGAAAGCGGTGACGCTGCGGACAGCAATGGCCTGGGGACGGCCAACAGCCATGACCTCCTGGGTGATGCAAGCACTGCCGCTGCCCATGCCAATTCTCAGGCCATCGACACCAGCAGCAATCAGAGCTGCGGCTTGCTCACGAGTAACAACGTTACCACCGATAACGTCGATCTCGGGGAAGTTCTGCTTGATCCACTTGATCATCTCAATCTGGTACATGCTGTTACCCTGGCTGCTGTCCAGGATAACGATGTCGAGACCAGCATCAACAAGGAGCTTGAGTCTGGTCTTGTCCTGCTCACGGGTACCAATGGCAGCAGCGGCGATGAGCTGCTTGGACTGGGGGAGCTTGGAGGCAAGGGGGTAGTGGAGGTTCTTCATCAAATCGCTGCGGGACAGGAGGGAGACAAGGTGACCGTTCTCGTCAACAATGGGGAGCTTGCCCTTCTTGGAGGAACGGAGGACCTCGTTAGCCTCGGCGAGGGTGGTGCCAGCGGGGGCAGTGATGAGGTCAGTGGACATGATGGCGGTGACGGAGTCATCAAGGTCGCGGTGGAACTGGATGTCACGGGAAGTGACAATACCAACAAGCTTGGAGCGGAGGGTTCCGTTCTCTGTTCAAACAAATGCTGTTAGAATCAAGTCTGACTCGAACCAGAAAAGAAGAACATGTTATGATGAAACACAAGGGTCAGATAAAATCTGTTTCTCTACAGTGCTGCTCTCGCTGCTCCAGTGGAACGAAAGTTATAATAGAAAAGAGGATAATCATCACTGTGAATGGGAAAACTGGAAGGAAGAAAGAACAGTAAAGACTTACCAGTAACAGGGAAACCACCGAAGCCCCACTTGGCCTTCAGCTCCTTGGCCTCGCGGACAGTGGCCTTGGGAGAAAGGACAACGGGGTCGGAGATGAAACCGTTCTCGTATCTCTTGACCTTGCGGACCATCTCGGCCTGCTCCTCAGGAGCGCAGTTGTGGTGGATAACACCCAGACCACCCAGCAGAGCCATGTGGATGGCCATGTTGTGCTCGGTAACGGTATCCATGGGAGAGGACAGAAGGGGAACCTTCAGAGAGACACGCTTGGTGACGGGAGTGTCCAGAGTGACATCGGAGGCAGGGAAGCCTGTGATGGGGCGTATAAGCAACCGAGCACGAACAAGAATCACCAGAAACTCAAGGTGTTCGTCTTACCGATGTATCCGGGCAAGATCAGGAAGTCGTTGTAGGTCAACGCTCCGTGCTTGTCCGAGTCAAGCAGAGTGTCAACGTCCAGACCATCCTGAGTAGTGTAGGTCTTCAGGACCTCCAGGGCCTTGGTGTGGTCCTGGATCTCAGCCTGCATGGCGCGGCCAAGAGAGTCACCGTTGGAGATAGGCATGGTGAAGACTCTACCGGTTCTATCGTAACTCGTCAAAAATAATGATAAGAGTCAAGAATAGAAATAATAATCAACAGATCGACGATAGAAACGTTCTGTTGATGGAGAAAGTCTTCCTTTCCCAAAGAAAGAAAGAAAGAAAAAGGAAGAAAAATCGGAGGAGAAAAAAATTGGCTTTTGACTTCTGCCGCACACGCTAGCGATCCCTGCAGAATTCATGCCGCAACGGGTATGGTTCGCCTTCCCGCTGGCTGTTTGGGGCTGTGATTGGCTGCTAAACGAAATCAGGCCAGGCGGTGAGTGAGGAGGGGGTGACATTGAAAGAACCAAATTATTCCATCCTGACTGATGGTTAATAATAGTTCTGCTGAAAATTTTTGCAGTCCCGCTTATCAATTTTTTAAGGAACCGTCGCGGGGTTCGGGGTTAAACTTCCCATGGAGTGATGCCTAATCGCTGCTTGCGGCAATTGCAATGACTTGGATACTCAACGTACTGTTACTGACTGGTCATGTGAGGGGTTGCTTTTCACGGGACATTTTAGATGAATTTCTCTCCTCTATCAATTCAGTCTTTTTTCTTTTTTCCTCTTCGCGCATAACGCCAAAATGGGTTAGTGGCTACTAGTCTCGTCGATAAGATAACTAATATGCCCACGGTCTTGTCTTGAATGCATGTAACGATACATTGAGCTTGCTGGGGATGTTGTTGAATCTAACTGGATTATTGCATTGGCGACGCTTTTGGTTCAGATATCATTGCAATTTTTAACAGTAACGTATTGGTTCGAGTGGTACTGCAGACGCTATATGCTCGGACCAGTCTAGTTCTCTCCCCGCAGTGTAGTCCAAGCACCCCGGATTCATGTATGAATCAACATCTAGGTGCACTGATCAAGGCATGTTAAGGTGTAGCAAGTGTACTTAGATAATGAGTCGGTATGTGGGGAGTAATGGCTTATCTATTCTTGAATTCTGATAACGATCTTAAACATGTCCCTTGCTCCTTGTGGTGTCCTCCGCGGGCCCATGGAACCCTAGAGACGGAACACATATACTGGAGGGCAGATGACGTTCAATTGAGAAGCAAAGACTAATTACAGATGTGTATAGCCAGGCGGTCCCAATGATAGTGCTGACTTGTGTTTCGGGGAGTGTTACGGCTATGTCATTTTTCCACCTGATAATTCTGAGGTTGTTGCAGGGCGCAGTGTGACTGTTTCATAGAACTTGAGTTAGAAGGTTACACTTACGGCTCTCCATGTGGCTAATCGGTATTTGCTGCTGCGTCTACTCAATCCTCTGTTAGCATTAGCATTCCCTATTTACTTAGGCTGCATTGAACATTATGCGACGTGAAGGCTTATCTATCTATTCACTGCTATCTAATTGAGCATGGTCTCTGAACTGTAGCACTAGCCCGGCCAGGCGGCGAGTATAAGCTTGAAATAGAACTTGAAAGTACCGATGATAAATACTACTTTAGCGATATACTTAAGAAAATCTAGTTTCAAATCGAATCGATCTGGCGAATTCTTTAGTGTGCTACGATATAGATCGAGAGGTGAAATGCGGAGATGTGGTTCGCGGACTTGGTTACGTAGTACACTATGACGCCAGGGTGACAGAAGGCAAAGAAAGCTGCCGACCTATATAGGTAGCGCCAAAGCCATGGAGTTTTTACTATTTGGACAATAACTTTTCATAGCAATCAGATCGCACAACTAATAGTCACAATGGCATCCGCAATGGGAAAAGAAGGCGTTTTCCAGCCGCCACAGGCAGCTCAATCCCAGAATACTCCAGGGTAATTGTCCCTTATCAGTCATTCCTCTCGTTAACTCGAATAGCTTTCTCTCTCTCTGGGTATTCTTCGAAGAACCAACGAAGCTAATAGACAATCTCAGGTTAGAGAAGAAAATGGCACCAGCAAGTGAAGCGACCAAGCTGGAATCCAGCGGCACTTTCGTTGAGTATGTCGGTTCTGGCAAACTGAAGGACAAGAAAGCTCTCATTACGGGCGGCGAGTATGTCTCCTATACTGGCATGATATAGGAGGGCCAAAAAGCTCACATCTTCCTAGTTCCGGCATCGGCCGATCGGTCGCGGTCTTGATGGCTCGCGAAGGGGCCGACGTCACCATTGTCTACCTACCCGAAGAAGAAGAGGATGCTCAGGATACCAAGAAGATGGTTGAGGCCGAGGGCAAATCATGCCACCTCTTCAGCGGAGATTTAAGAAGTCGCGAAACATGTCGCAAAGCTGTTGAAGAACATATGAACACGTGCGTGGCCTTGTCATGACCAGTCTACCAGCCAAGCTCTGTCTCATACTAAGCCCAGGTATAAAAAACTGAACATTCTCGTCAACAACGCTTCCAAACAATTTATGTGCAAGGATTTCGCACAAATAGATCTGGACAATGTTACCAGCACCTTCGAGAGCAATATCATTCAGATGTTCGCTATCACAAAATTTGCCCTTCCACATCTATCCAAGGGCGACTCGTCAGTTCCTCCATTTTCCATTGAAACAAGCTGCTTATGGCTGATTTGATCTGCAGCATTATCAACACCACATCTACCGTGGCATTCCGAGGTACAAGCGGTATGGTTGACTATAGTGCGACTAAAGGGGCTATTGTTAGCTTTACCAGATCATTGGCAGCACAGCTGAAGACGAAGGGTATCCGCGTCAATGCAGTGGCGTAAGTTCGAGGGTCCATGTTGACTGTTAAGACCAATGCTCACTGTTAATTCGGTAGTCCTGGTCCAGTTTACACTCCTATTCAGGTCGATACTCGAGAGCCCGAGCAGATGGAGAACTTCGGCGCTGGATCTTCCATCGGTCGACCTGGCCAACCAAGCGAAGTCGCGACAAGCTTCATCTTTCTTGCCAGCGCAGATGCTGCACTGTTTTGTGAGTATAACTTCGCCCCCCTGGCGACAAAGGCTACCAGCCAACCTCTGACGTTTTCTGACTGTGAAAAGACGGCCAGGTTTTGCACTGCTATCCTCTGGGGGATTAAACAAAACTTGAAGCCGAGGACGAATTGTCTATGAAGCCACACCAGGGCAAAAGTACAGTGTCAAGCTCCATGAACCATTGCAACTTGGCAATCGTTTCAATGCTAAAGTTAGATCCAAGGCGTCCCCGTACCTCTAAGCCATTTGATGTGAAAATATGTACATGTATGATAGTTCATGGGAGTTGAGTGATTTGTAATGCGATCAATACAACAGCCACGGTTTCGCCTGCAGGAGGGCTTTATCCCAGCCCTCATCATTCTTCCAGATAGCAACAGTCTCTACCTCATCCTTGCCCAACTTGAGATCATTGTACAGATGCTATCCAGAGTTTATGATTAGTTTTAAAACCCTCTTCTCTGTAACCATACATGGGGACGAGACAACATACCGGAAACAAGCCCTCTTTCGGTCGCGGTCCGCAGACTGTCCCGTCAGGATTCTCCCACCGGACCTGGCCGGCTATGCCCTCAAAGGGAATCCGGAGCACGTAGACCAACGGCTCGTCTTTAAAGAACATTTTGAGGGTATTCGGTACTTGGAATGCTGTGGAGAGGTGTACGAATCCCGATTTCTCATCCAGCTCGCTAACCGGCAGCCGATCGGGGAGAGGTTCCCGTACCGGAGACGTCGACGGAATCAGCTTGTAGACGTAGAGGGGCTCGGCGTCTGCCATTTTTCTCTTTTGCTCAATGATGTAATCTCCCGTTGGGACTTGCAGAAGGGGTTATGAAGGATTTAGTGGTAGTTGATTGTGTTGTAGGTCTGTATCCTAGTCATATAGGTAGGCGATATATCGACGCTAGTGAGTGGGTGGTGGGACTGGTCATCCTTGACCCCTCCATGAGCTGTTGGTCGATCGCGTCGGACTCTTTGTCCTCCAAGACTCCCGTGACCGGGGTGTGTAGTATCCAAGCTTTCTTCAACCACACGGAATGTGTCTACTTTTCTTCAATGATTGGTGGGTTATTATGTAGATGGTTTGTCATCTGCTGCAAGTTTACTGAAGGAGTAAAAAATCATTTTTTGATCCTGGCGTTTTTGACCAAGTCCCCGCATGTGTTTCCGATAAGATAGTAGTAGTACAACGGACTATATGTTGGTCATTATATATTAACGTTAGTACTAGCGGGACTGAGGGGTTCGGCCACGTCTAATAAGTAGAATCATTTGAAAATTCATATGGATAACTTGATATCATACTTCATACATGGAATAGATTGATGAAGAATTAAGGCAGATCTTGGACGCACATAATCTTCACAAGATTAAACTGTCTTCAGAGGTACATGCAGCCTCCAGAGTACTAGTTCCGTGGACTTGCAACATCTTCTATGTACTTACTCAGCGGGAGGAATGATATGTTCTCTGTATAAAGTTTGTGCAACGAGGAACTTGTCTGTCTCCTATATCGATCGATCAGACACATTCAAGCTAGTAACCACAGTACTCAAGCCACAGAGATCTGTGGCTGAGATAGGGATCGACGTCACTGGACCAGGTATTGGAGAGTAACAGTCACATGCCCGTGCACGCCATACCAAAACGGGAGATTTGTTTTTGCCCTTGCTGGGGGGCTGGGGATCGTTCCTGCCTCCGATTTACTTGGTAGCTGAACCCCCCGCTTTAGCGCTGACGGCCCTCTTTCACTCTCCCTCTCTTGTTTATTTCTGTTGCTGCAGCATCCATCGTCTGTGTTCAAGTTTCAATCCATCTGCACGCAATTCGGGCTATCGAAAACCTGCCCGCCGGTTGCGATCCCTCAATTCACTCGACTCTTCCGACAATCTCGGTGTTCCTCGTGCCCGTCTTGTCTTATCTCTCCCATTCTTGATCCTTGCCTTATCAGGCCATTTCAGGCACAAGCCCTGCCGTTTCTACATCAACCGATTCTTCCCGGCCCAATTCTTCCCGTTACCACAGGGTTATGCCGCCTCTCCCTTGGATGAACATACCATCCCAGTGATATCCCACGCAACCGCACGACTCTGGTCGATTTGCTGCTTCGGTCCGGGAGGCAGGTATGCGGCCAATTGAAGTAGAGTCTCTTCCATCTCCATTGGTTATCGCATTCTTTCTCTCAAATCGGCACCCGTGATGTCAAGCAATTTAGCATCGTCCCGACGCACACAGACGGATTTGCCAGACCAAACATCCAATCCACTGCGCCATGGATCAACCGCTTCCACGAGCTCGTCAATATACACCGTCTCATCAAGTTTATTTTCTCCCAGTCGCACGAGCACCGTCTCCTCCACCGCGTCATCTGGGTCCCTACCCGGCCATAGACGGGGCAAGAGTGAGGTAAACACACCAATCTCCGAAGCAATGGCTGGAGGCGCTTCCGAGGGGAAAAGTTGGGCCAATGCGGGCGCGACCTATGAGAACATCCGCCGCTCATTGCGACCACTTTCCCAAGCCCCCAACTCGTCTCCTGTAGCTGCCAAGCAAGCAGCATTTCGTCATTCTCGAAGCCAGACTGTCGACAATCCTCAATACTGGAAGGAAAATCGCCCACAGACCCCCGAATCACGTCCTGCGCAGCCTCAGGATGTTGACACATTAAAGGAGAAGCCCTCATACATCGATCAAAGCCCCACGAAAACCGGTTCGCCGCATGCTGTCTCACCTCATGCCAAGTCACAAGTAAAAGCGCACCATGCACATAGTTTGTCCAACCCACCGCCGTTCACCCATACCTTGTCGGCCCCCGAGCTAGAGACGTTCCAAAAATCATCAACCGGCCACCTGCGGACCCTCTCAAAGTTTGCGAAATCGGGTGAGACCGAAGAATTTGCGCTTGACAGTTATGGGGCATCTGTGGTGGGATTACAGGGACGACGACGCCTGAAGCGCGCTGATACGGTGACCGGAAATAATAGCCCCATAGCACGAAAGAAACCGGCAGCATCAGCATGGACGGCTGGGAGCTGGATGGACAAGCAGCGTCAGTTCCTCCAGGCTTACGAGTATCTTTGCCATATCGGAGAAGCAAAGGAATGGATCGAAGAAGTTATTCAAAAACAAATCCCGCCGATTGTTCAGTTGGAAGAAGGCCTGCGTGACGGAGTAACGCTGGCTGAGGTGGTACAAGCTATGTACCCAAACCGAACCTTTCGAATCTTCAGACACCCGCGACTTCAGTACCGTCACTCTGACAACATCGCACTGTTTTTCCGGTTCTTAGATGAAGTCGAGTTGCCAGAGCTGTTCCGGTTCGAGCTTATTGATCTTTACGAAAAGAAAAACCTCCCGAAGGTCATTCACTGCGTCCACGCCTTGTCATGGCTGATGTTCAAGAAAGGCCTCGTCGATTTCCGGATGGGTAATTTGGTGGGCCAACTGGAGTTCGAACATCATGAACTCGAGCAAACACAAAAAGGCCTCGATAAGGCGGGCGTCAGCATGCCTAGTTTCTCAGGGATGGCTGCCAACTTCGGAGCGGAACCAGAGCCAGAACCGGAGCCTGAGCCGGAATCCGAGGAAGATCGCATTCACCGTGAATTACATGAAAGCGAAGCCTCGATCGTTGATTTCCAAGCTCAGCTTAAAGGAGCGATGCTGCGACTGAAGCTTGGCAACTTGATGAACGATCTATGGGATTTCGAACCGTTTTTGGTAGAACTGCAGTCCAGGATACGCGGAGACTGGGCTCGACAAATTGTTCAATATCGACTGGATATGCGAAAATTCGCTGTTCAATTGCAAGCGATCTGCCGAGCTTTTCTGGTCCGACAGCGGCAGAGAGGTGATAAGGAAAATTACCAGGCCCAGGAAATTGATGTACTGCAGCTGCAGACCCTGATCCGGGGAGCCAAGGCAAGGGCTCAAGTGGACCGTGTTCGAAGTTGTATGCGGAAAGAGGAATCGGGTATCAAATTGATTCAGGCAGCACTACGAGGCGCATTGCAACGACAGAAAGTGTATGATCTTTGCGAGGGCACAAGGGGTGCGGAGGAGGATGTTCAACTGCTGCAGGCTGCTATCCGGGGTGCTCTGCAGCGCAAGCAACTCGCAGCGCAATACGAAGAAACTCACTCGGCTGAGACAGATGTAACTGAGCTCCAAGCCCTTATCCGAGGTGCTCTTCAACGCAGTCAGCTGGCAAAGCAGTACGATGCAGTGCAGTCTGCGGAACCTGACGTGGTCGAGCTCCAGGCCCAAATCCGTGGTGTCCTTCAGCGCAATCGGCTTGCAGAACAATATGAAGCAACACGAGCGAGAGAGGAAGATGTGACAGTGCTTCAAGCTTTGATCCGGGGTGCCTCTGTCCGTCAGCAGATGAGCACACAGAACGAGGCCATGAATGCGACGACAGCAAGCAGCACGTCTCTGCAAGGAATCATTCGAGGAATGCTGACCCGGAAAGGTATCGAAGAGACAAAATCGCTGCTCTTGCAGGAAGTACCTTCAATTACCTCCGTTCAAGCAGGCGCGCGGGCCCTTGCAGCCAGAAAATTCCTATCGCAGCAAGCAGAAGCGCTCGCAAAGACAGCAAATGAGTGCGCCTCTCTCCAGTCAATTGTTCGCGGTAACGCTCTTCGAGCCGAGCTTGACCGTCTTCGACAAGATCTGAGCGAGCATGTGCCATCCGTCACCGACATCCAAAGCATCTCTCGAGCAAATGCTGTACGATCCTTCCTGAACTCTCAACGCGAGTCTCTTGAGGAAGAGGAGACGTCCATTTTGGCACTGCAGTCTATGGCCCGGGCAGTCATACTCAGGAGAAGGCTCGAAGCAGATGCGCAAGCTCTACAGCAGGAAGCACCGGTCATAACCAATCTTCAAGCTCTTATCCGTGCCGCAATTCTCCGCATCGACGTGGGCGGCATCTTGGAGGAGCTCGATGACTGCGAGGATGAGATTAGCCAGTTCCAAGCACAGATAAGAGCCATGCTTGTTCGGGTTGACGTTGGCCAGACTCTTGCAGATCTGGCAGCTGCCGAAGACGTCGTTATGGACCTTCAGTCACACATCCGTGGACATCTTGTTCGTTCCAGATTTGAAGAGAAACGCCGCCATTACCGTGAAAACATGGATAAGGTGATTAAGGCGCAAAGCTACATCCGCGGTCGAATTCAGGGTCAAGCCTATAAGAGCCTCACAAGTGGAAAGAACCCGCCTGTAGGAACTGTCAAGGGCTTTGTGCACCTGTTGAATGATAGCGA